CATTTACACTACTGTATAACATCCTAATTTAAACATTTACACTACTGTATAACATCCTAATTTATACATTTACACTACTGTATAACATCCTAATTTATACATTTACACTACTGTATAACATCCTAATTTATACATTAACACTACTGTATAATATCCTAATTTATACATTTACACTGCTGTATAACATCCTAATTTATACACCACACTACTGTATAACATCCTAATTTATACATTAACACTGCTGTATAACATCCTAATGTATACATTTACACTACTGTATAACATCCTACTGTATACATTTACACTACTGTATAACATCCTAGTTTATCCATTTACACTACTGTATATTTACATTTGCCCCCGCGCCGTCCCATTACAACATTGTTAGAGGGCAAGTGTAATTATATAGGCTATAATTACAACTTCTCGACTATAATTACAACTGCCTGTTTCAGGTGTAGGAATATGTAAACAATCAAAATGGCCGCCTGAAATGTATTTTGAGGCAGGGCAAATGGTTTTTGTAGGAATATGTCTTAAAAAGAAAAATATGTAAAAATAAAAATACCTGGTTGTCTGGATGTAATTATTGGTGATATAATTACAAGTGGCCTCTGGCAGATCTACCATAAAACCGGTTTTATGGTATTTGCCAAAGGCCACTTGTAATTATATCAACAATAATTACATCCAGGCAACCAGTTATTGTTTAAATAACATCCTAATTTATACATTAACACTGCTGTATAACATCCTAATTTATACATTTACAATACTGTATAACATCCTAATTTATACATTTACACTACTGTATAACATCCTAGTTTATACATTTACACTCCTGTATAACATCCTAGTTTATACATTTACACTACTGTATAACATCCTAATTTATACATTTACACTACTGTATACACCACACTGCTGTATAACATGAAAGTTTCGTGGTTTTCGTGGTTGCTGTTGAACCACGGAAATAAATACAACGAATTTAAATGATACACGTGTCTACTGTTTATAAATATAGGATATCCACGAAAGATTGTACTGCGAAACGATCTAAATGGCTTCAAACCACGAAGGAAAGTACCCAAGAACGTTTCCTGTTTTACTGATATTAATCTGGGATACGTTTTAGCCACACTGACAAAAGATATCAGACATTTTTGCATTTGACATTAAGCGTCATGAAAGTTTTTGATTCTGAGGCACAATATTTCACCTTTGTATTTTAGTTGTGGTTGAGGGTGTTTATGTGGTAGGTCAGAAAGAGTTTACGTTTGACTCCCTCAGTAACTGTTGGGTTGTGGTGTTTCTGTATTGAGACGTATTTCCGATTTTATTCATTTGCAGTCTGTTATAACTTTAATTCACTGAACAAAACTAAATCAGTTTTTGAATACTTATTTTAGCGACTGCATTTTTTACGAATTCTTTTGAAAATAACTTTGCAAGAAAGGCAATCAAGAAAATGAGCTAAAAAAATCATAAATAAACACGTCAATAAATAACTGAGTCTAAAATCACAGATTTCATAGGAAGATCAATAACTGATAAACAAATATCCTTGAATATGTATTTCGTTCGATCATTCAGTTAAATTCACCAGAAAACTCAACAATGCCAATCGAAAGTAAAACTACAGCACGTGGTCCCGGTCGATGCCTTTTATGTGCTGTGTTTCTACTGGGATTCATAGCAGTAGCCGGGCTGGCTGTTTCAATTGTGACGTTAGCGAAACAAATGAAGGATAAAGATAATGACGTCACGCCCTCTGCTGTGACGTTGAATCAGGGCCAACATATGATGGCGTCACCAGCGTCTACCATACCTGTTCCAGATCCAAGAACAGAAGCCGTGGTGGCATGTTACCCAGAGAGGAATTACAATCGATCTGAATGTGAAAAGAAAGGGTATGTAAATCAATGTAATACGTCAGCGTGTCAAAGAACTCAACATAAAGGTGATACATAGTCAGTATAATACGTCATCGTGTCACAGGACACAACATAAAGGTGATACATAGTCAGTATAATACGTCAGCGTGTCACAGGACACCACATAAAGGTGATACATAGTCAGTGTAATACGTCAGCGTGTCACAGGACACAATATAAAGGTGATACATAGTCAGTGTAAAACGTCAGCGTGTCACAGGACACACCATAAAGGTGATACATAGTCAGTGTAATACGTCAGCGTGTCACAGGACGCAACATAAAGGTGATACATAGTCAGTGTAATACGTCAGCGTGTCACAGGACACAACATAAAGGTGATACATAGTCAATGTAATACGTCAGCGTGTCACAGGCACAACATAAAGGTGATACATAGTCAGTGTAATACGTCAGCGTGTCATAGGACGCAACATAAAGGTGATACATAGTCAGTGTAATACGTCAGGGTGTCACAGGACACAACATAAAGGTGATACATAGTAAATGTAATACGTCAGCGTGTCACAGGCACAACATAAAGGTGATACATAGTCAGTGTAATACGTCAGCGGGTCACAGGACACAATATAAAGGTGATACATAGTCAGTGTAATACGTCAGCGTGTCACAGGACACAACATAAAGGTGATATATAGTCAGTATAATACGTCAGCGTGTCACAGGACACAACATAAAAGTGATACATAGTCAGTGTAGTAGTCAGCGTGTCACAGGACACAACATAAAGGTGATACATAGTCAGTGTTATACGTCAGCGTGTCACAGGACACAACATAAAGGTGATACCTAGTCAGTGTAATACGTCAGCGTGTCACAGAACACAACATAAAGGTGATACAAAGTAAATAATAGCATCTGACGTCGCCGGTAGTGTACACGAATAACACCACGTAAATTAAAAGGACAGTCTTGTTGTGTATCTCAACTCTGGTGTATTGTAGTTGATAACTATGATTGTGACTTTTTCAAGAATTATACTACCCTTCAAATCACACCTGAGATTTGTGTAACCTATATCTTTTTTGTGCTTTTAAAAAGGTACAAAATCTGAATAACGACTTATAAAAAATATTTCATACATGTCTTTCTGGTAACATCATGGATATTGCCGTTCCTAACACATTGCATTGCCCCGTGTACTAAAAGCAGCCTATTGTACGTGTACATATGTACACCAGTCAATAAAGGGTTTATTATCCTTTGTACAGTATTTTTTTGAATGTCTATTTTACAGTTGTAAATGGTTGGTTTCAAATCACGCACGCGTTCCGTCTTGTGTGTTTGACAATACTGCTGGCTACGTGATAGACCATAACTACACACATTCAGCATCCGAGCATTCGTTCATCCTTAAAAGAGCGGGAATAGCGAGTATGTACGGAATGGAAGTTCGTCAACAAATCAAGGTTACGGTGACAATGAATGGTGATAATATGTTAAGAATACATGTAAGTATGTACAGCTCTCTCTCTCTCTCTCTCTCTCTCTCTCTCTCTCTCTCTCTCTCTCTCTCTCTCTCTCT